GCAACCTTTAGCCATTTAATGTTCATTTTGGACAAGGCTTCTGGCCCAAGGTGACTGGATGTGAAGAAACAAAACCTTAACCTCTGTTGGTCACTTCTTTGGCTTATTTTAGAGCTACCTTGATCCAGAGGCATCTCCTTGGTTCCATAACTTTAACCACAGACGTTAAGACTGCATTTCGTCAACGGTTTTACAGTTTAAATGCTTTCTTTTGCTTTGATAGGAGCATCTAGTAAGAAGCAATTGACATTGAACTTTTTGTGCACAAATTATCCATTCTTAGATGCAAATCGTAATAAAAGGAAGGACTTTATTAACTATAGAGTGCAGTTTCGGATTAAAAAGTTCTCCAGTTAGTTTCTAAAACTATTCTATCATTCACCATATTTGATAGTCGCTTTTATGCATGTTGGTCCAAAATTGTGTATATTTTTTAAAAAGAACGCTGCTAATAATTAACCAGAAAGTTCTACGATTTCGCTTAAATGGAAGTTGATTTACAAGTTCAGGGACATTTCTTGCGTTATCGAATTACTCAAAGGAAAGATGATTACAGAAAGGATTTTGCCAAATCGTAAACCAGAGCTGTGCGGAAGACTACCAATTTGAATACAAAATTTGGGTGTCGTAGGGCAGATAATGTTGGTGACGGTGCCTCTAAACATGGTAAATGTTTCTTTCTAACCCTGCTGAAATTTCCATTCTAATGGCTCATTGTTGAAAACTACATTTTGCGCCCATTCTTGTTACCTCCTGTTCAGCTAACACCATGTAGAGAAATACTCATAGGCATTGCGATAAAAACAGTAAAATGCAGATGTTGTTCGGAGTCAAGGCAGGCTCCGATATTTTAAATTTCTAACTCTGTTTTCACTTATATAATAGAGATATCTCCACTGGTCTTTGCATGTTGGTTGCATTTGTTGGCATCCCGATTTGCTCTGGACCACCAATTCACACTGACTTTGGGCCATAAACGTTAAGAAGCACTAAGAACATTTTCGCTTAGTTGAAACACAATTATCTTTCACTCCCCTTTTTGCTGGTCACATCCAGCACGCGGCAAGTGTTAAACTCTTCTTCAGTAATTTATTTACAACAGCAGGTAAAACGATAAAGCAATTTCAAGGGCATGCAATATTGGAATCAAAGCTTTCCTTCATTCGTACTACGAATTCCGAATCCCTAAAGAAAGAATTTTAGACTGGTAAAATAAATAAAAAACGTTTTCAAGCTAGTCCTCAAATGCGAAGTGACAGCGAACGATAAATAAAAAACGTTTTCAAGCTAGTCCTCAAATGCGAAGTGACAGCGAACGATACAATTGAGGATAGGTGACTACAAAGCAAGGTTAGCGGAATAAAATAATCCCCAAGACACAAGACTAGCAAGACGATAATTGCGCGGAGACAACATTGATACACAGGAGTAAGAAGACCAAAAACATTCGAGATTAAAAATCTGTGGATGTATGATGGACAAAAGATGGCACTAACTAAATGAGCATTCAAATGGGCGCAGTAATTTGGGATAAGAACTTCTACAATATCTCCTAACAACCGCTTAGTTGTGGCAATGTAGAGACTATCGAGGTGTAATATGATATATGAATATGGATATGAATCAAAGAAAACAAGGACTAGGATGTAGGCAACGTATGTTTATTAACTTTCCGTAATTTTCATTGGGTTGGGTCTGATCCCAATTAATTACCAATTTGAGACCGGCCCGGGCGAATCAGAGGACACCAGAGTACTCAAGCTATCAACGAAATTTTTCAGAGCTTAAGTATTTGTTTCGAAAACTAGGAGCACAAAGCTTGTAAATACTCCTCTAGTGTCTAATTAGGAAAGCCATTTCTAGGCTCTAAGAAATCTTAAAAACATTTTCTAATTTTACCGTGACATGCGTACACAAAGAAACGACTACACCCATTCAGAAAGCAAAGTGGTGTGGGCTGTAGAACTGCATAACGCTTATGGAAAGTGTTTATTGGCCACCAATTGAATGAAAATGTGTTCGTTCAATCAGCATAACAGCACTAAGGTGCAAAAAGCACTTTTACAAACAATTGTAAAAACTGCAAAAGGACTACAGAAGCGTGAATTGACAGTCATTAACGTTTATATATGGAAGTGGAGGGTGGTTTCAGATTCAATTCTATTGCCCAGTTATTTTGTTTGTGAAATCCTAATCGCATGTTTGCCATCGCAGACACGATGAGGGTAGGCACTAAGATGAAAGTGGTGCCTTCATCCGAAAAAATAAGGCGCCTATAATTGTGTGAGTCCTTTTTATGTGCCATATCATTCCAGTACATCGCATCACATGTTGTACCTCTAGCGTGCTTTGTGGATCATTGTGTGAATAGCTTCATTTGCTTTAGAAGTTCATAAGTCACGATTGTTACAGCGCTAGCTCCATTCCCACTAACCATTACCAGTCTGCACCTTTGAGGGTGATAATGCAAAACAGGAACGATACGACCAAGAACAGCGCACGCACACTAACACATTTGTTTTCTTTGCATCTCCACTTTGCTAAAGTAGATTTATTTTACCAAACATACGAGTTTTGAGTGATAACTAATCAATCTTTAGGCTTTGAATATGTTTTTCTTAAGTATAGATGTAAGGCTATCATGAAAATCATAACACAAAGCCATCAATTCCAACTTTATAATCCATTCCCCTCCAAGGGACTTCGTCATCATTAGTCTGCTCTCTTTATGTGGGTCGTAATAGCAACGCAGAAAAGGAGGATGTTGTGGTGCTTTATGGACAATTGTAATGGCGGTGTGTCCAAGGGACCTGCTGCCACGCCATGCACATTCTTTAAGTTACCACCACCTCACAGATTGCCTTCG